TTAGTTTTTACAAACTTCCTCCACGTCTCCCGCGTCTCGGCGTTCTTACGTGTTAATCTTAAAATATTGTCATATACCGACGCGAACATTTTTTTTTTTGATCATTTAAAGAGTAATCATTCTTTTATACATATTTTACGGTTATCTTAAACCGTTTTTGTAGCGTACGCAACGGAAACCCACAAGGATATTAACACACAAAATAAAAGAATATGTAATTAAATTAACAAGCATATTTTAAATATCCTGCATCGTGTAGTACTTTAGTATATTATTACACAGATATTGATCTAAAACATCGCACAATTGTACAAAATGCTACATGCTAAATGTGTGGGGAAATTCCTCTATTTTATACCTTCATATTTCAGAGGGTAATGCGCAAAATATGATTTTCTTACATTATAACTAAGCACACATATAACAGAATAAGAAAAATATTGATATTTTACTCAAAAAGTAGGGCTGAGTATGAGGGCATTAGATGGGACTAAAACCAAGAACAACAGCGTTCCGTTGCAGCTGCTGAAAAGCATCCGAAACGTCGGGCCGAAATTAAAAATCATTTTCAAATATGTTTAACTAATATATCGCGTTTTAAACCGTTAAAGTGTTTTATTTAAATGATGTATTTAGCCTTTTGTTAGTAATTTGTAATACGAGAGAAACCCCCCAAACCTATTGTGACTATAGATATTCGGAAATCCACAGACTGTAAATTTATACTACTGTCGTAAATCTCAGTCGTCAACAGTTTTTTTGAAACCACGTAAAACCTAAAATAGATGTCTATAGAGTTCGGTATTCGGTTAGAAGTCAGTGATTTGTCGTGTACAATGATCGTTTGAACATTTATTAGGGTTCCCCGAAATGAAAAACGCACCGCCGCCGGCTATTGTCACCGACTGATTGTAAATTTGTGGCCGGAAAATTGCTTGATCGAAGCCTCCGATCAAAGGGCCCGCTTTCATTAGGGCTGACACCGATCGTCGAATACGGCTTATTATGCAGCAGATTTACTAGCTTCGATGAATTTAGATTGCCGATTTAACTGATATATTTGTATAGTTTACGCGAGTAGTACATATTTAAATAAAACGCTTTAACCGTCTAAAACGCGATATATTAGCTACACTTGATTGAAACGTCGGGCCGAAGTTAAAAATCATTTTCAAATAAGTTTAACTAATATATCGCGTTTTAAACCGTTAAAGTGTTTTATTTAAATGATGTATTTAGCCTTTTGTTAGTAATTTGTAATACGTGAAAAACCCCCAAACCTATTGTGAAATCCACAGACTGAAAGTACTGTACGAAAATACGAAAGTAATCCTCACAGCTTCTTATCTGTGGATTATGATTTGTGACAGGGAAATAATTTTGATATTCCTACCATCTATTGAATATCCAGATTTCCAGACGAAAGCTAATATAATTAAAAAAAAATTAAATTGAGTAGACACACGTTACATCCGGTGGGAAGTGAACCCGCGGCCTATTATTAGCCAAACATTTCTACCAATGGTCCAACAAACTACAAAAAAGTCATTTTTACATGTTTATTACAGTATCGATACAATATCGAGAGGTTTTTAATCTAACTTAAAGTAAACTTAAATAGGTTTTATTATTTCTCTTTATATTGACACCTTATTAAAGCCGCGGTACTTGAAATATTTTACATATTATATCGGTTTAAATAATAATCTTTTAACAGTTTAAAACGCAAAATGTATTAGTTAAAGTTAGTTACAGTAGGTCACAGGGGGATGTCCCTAATGTGAAATTATTTCGGATACAGAACAAAAATGAGTTTGTTGTAAATGCCATAAGCTAACTTGTTAAAACTTAAATTAACTTCCGCTATTGTTAGATTAAAGCTTTGTATAAATTAATATAAATAATTATTTTAACAACGGCTAAAGTACAATACATGAATAAAGGCAGAGTATGTCAATATGTTTTGTGTAATACATTGCCTTTAGTAATATATTTAACAACGCATTCTTCAATACAATATGTTATAAAAGACTCACAAAGATTTTAATTTAAATAAATTTATTTTAAATTGAATCTTTTTATTATATTATTTTTATAGATCACTTTTAATTTAATTTGATGGATAATAAAAACAAAAAGAATTACATTACACAGTAGATCATTAATAAACCACAAAGGTTTGTTACGACAGTCCAGAGAAGAATAATCACAGCATATATGATAGTTCGTAAAAAGGTGTAGCACCCCTGCCTACGTCATTGTTCGCGCGACCGACTTCTGAACAATCATAATGATGCCTTGTTTAGGAATTCCGTTTTAATTATCCGCCAACACGTGTTTAATACTCGGGATACGTCGGGAATTCTTTGAGAGCCCGCTTTGAGAACACAAAAGGTGTTTTTCTCAGTTGCCCCATTGTCTTAAATAGGTTAGACGAGCGAAAACGGTCGCTTAGATTTTGAGTAATTGAGGTCGTTGTTAATAAATCATTTTTTGTAATACTTTCACGTCATTGCTACCCTTGAAAATGTAAGCATACACCCACCCACCTCCGTAGCTCAGTCAGCAGTGTAACTAAGAAATCGTTGTGGTCGGGCGGGGTTTACAAGTCTTATACTCTGCTTGCCAATAAATATAATTAATTAGTGGTACGGACGCAAAAATGTTTGCCCCAGATGCGGAATATCACCAATACATTGTGAAATGAAACAATTTGAAAGATCTAAAACGCAATAGTATTAGTTTTTCCTAAACACGATCGCTTTGCAGCCGTATGGGAGGAATTGAAGTAGATCGTCCTAATGATCGGACGAAATTTTGATATTTCTACCACAAACTTTTATAAAAAATATAATATCATTTGAAAAGTTTATTATTTTTTACATGTTATTGCACAATATGAAGGCACTATATAATTTAAAATATGAAAATAAATTGTAAAAATTTTCGCCTCGGGCAGGACTCGAACCGGCATCGTCAGTCAGCGTTCCGTGCTGTTGCTCTACCAATTGAGTTATCGGAACTCGGTATATATTTATTTTCGATTTTTAAATTATAATATCATTATTAAATGATCAGTGGGAATCGAATCCAGGATTAGTTGATTATTAGCAATACATTGCTACCATTAAACCAATTCAAAGATATTAATTTCAAAGGTCTTTCAAAAATATTTTTCAAGCTGTAAACTTGTTATATTTTATTAATAATCATGTATTATTTAATTTAACGACACAACTTGAATACAACCAATATTTAAATAAAACACTTTAACGGTTTAAAACGCGATATATTAGTTAAACTATGCTGCTTAACAGCAGCCGAGACGTTGGGCCGAAATTAAAAATCATTTTCAAATAGTTTAACTAATATATCGCGTTTTAAACCGTTAAAGTGTTTTATTTAAATGTGTACTACTCGCGTAAACTATAGACAGTATACAACCAATATTTTAGTAAAGCTCTTTGCAAATTGAAACGCGAAATATATTAGTTAAACTTATTTCAAAATTGCTTTAACTGCGGCCCGAAGTTTAAGTAATATATTTCGCGTTTTAAACCGTTAAAATGTTATATTCAAACGTGTGCTACTCGCGTAAACTACAGACAGTATCTAACCAATATTTTTAGTCAAAAATAAGAATTACTTTTAACGTAAAATCCGTTTCTTCAAGCACGTATATCTACTTCACGATCGGATACATTAAGACGGCAGAGTTGTATCATTCCAGTTTAAAATAACAATAATCCGAACTCACCACGCCACCTGGCCCCCTGCCAGGCCATATTGGCACGTTGGCAGACACAACCAGACACTGCCAGACACACAATTGAATATCCACTAATGATAATCACTGCCAGTTCAATATTAACATAATCTCCATGCCAAATTAAGCAGAAGCTTGGATATGATTAAACCCGACTGTGCCAATACGAAAGTTGGTGATCAAAGCATAATATTATCCACTTGTGGGATAATATATTCATTTTAATCCCACTACTGAGAATTCTATACAATATGGTTAATTAATTTTATTTATTTATTTATTTGAACATGATGGCAATTATTATTTACTAGCTGTGTCCGCGACTTCTTCCGCGTACAATAATTATTTTAGACAATTCTTTTCACATTTATCGCTGTATCTTCGCTTGTATTAGTTACAGGGTAAGGTTCGATTCGAACCCGTAGTTCCTGAGATTAGCGCGTTCAAACATACAAACAAACAAACTCTTCAGCTTTATATATTAGTAATGATATGGAAAATAAAACAGTAAGTTTGAATACTTAAATATTTTTAACGTGTTATTGCATATGGTGGCTCTATATGAATTTAAAAAGATTACGACTCAGGCAGGACTTGAACCGGCATTCTCCATACATCCGTGTTATAAAAAGCTCAACTCACCGAGAACTATCACTCACTTCACAATTCAACTATCAACCTATTAGGTTTTATGAAGATTTTAAGTGGAGCTTATTATCCACATAAGTTTTCTACAATATAATATATAATACAAAAGTAAAATGTTTTTTTGTATAACAGAGGACCATTCTCTATCAACGTTCTTTGTTGTATATTTTTAAGATGCGCTGTCGAACTTTTTCGACTTGTGTATCGAAGTGAGACCAAAAAGCGAATATATACATAGGGGAGAGGGGGGCATGACGGGGTCGCGAGGCACGACGGGGCCCTCCACACTTACAGAGAACTATAAGCTCTAGATGTGTTTTGTTTTCGCTAATAGGTAGCCAAGTTGTATCTCTCTATAGTCTGACAGTGACCGTTGACTAGACTGCGCGCGTTTGTTTTTAAAAACAAAAAACGATTCTCAACGTAATTCCATGTAATTTTGAGTGACTACGAATACGCATATAAAAAGGTAAGTGTTTATGTCGCTACAATCATGTATTAATTTTGTTTTTGCAGATATATTATTTATTGATATGTTTGGAACAAAAATACTCCCTCCGTCACTAATTTCATTTGGTTTTTTATTTTAAATAATGTGAGAGTTGGGGCATGACGGGGACATGGCTGCGGGGTACGATGGGGTAATGTCCACCGCAATCAATGCCTTCCAAAAATGTGGCATATGGCCTTTTAAGCAGAATAACTTTACAGATTCAGATTTTTTAGCTGCATCAACCACAGACGCTAGCGAACGATGAGTCTGAAACAGTGCCTTTAAATGTCGGAATCCACTACTGCCTCGACGTGAACCACACTTATTTAAAGTCTTCGGAAGGTTGGGTGGCTTGCCAACTATGTGAACGGTGGGCTCATACAGCTTGTGCTGGTGTAGACGACGACAATACAGAAGAAATCCACATCTGTTTGTACTGTGACGTAAAATGAATACGTACCCCATACTGCCCCTACCCTGGGGCACGATGGGGTTTTCATTCAAGTTTCAAACAATTAGAATTACAACTTTTTATGATTATTTACATTACCAAATTCTATGCCAAATGATAGATTAATAAGTAACCAAAGTGTTGTGATTAGTTTTAATTAATAAAAAAATTGCGTTAATCAATTTAATGTGTATTTGCCTTAACGTCCCCATTATGCCCCCCTCTCCCCTAACAGCTTTTCCATCTGTGGTTCATGATTCAGACCAAATCGGATATTCTTTAAATATTGTCTGTAGTTTAATACTACATTTAAAGAAAACAGTTTTAACTGTTTAAAACGCGAATTATATCGTGGTCACGGCTACTGTTAAGCATCCGAAACATCGGGCGGTAGTTAAAATAAATAGTTTATAAGTTACCTAACTAATAGTTCGCGTTAAAAGTGTTTTATTCAAATCTGATTTCCTGAAGTGTAACAAGTTTAAATTATTACATTTATATATATACGTAATACTCGCGGAAAGTAAACCCACGTTATTGTATGTAATTTACGCGAGTTGAACGCATTTAAATAAAAGATTTTAACGGTTTAAAAAACAAAATATATAAAATACCGTCTGAAGTTTACGCGAGTAGTATCCACTTAAATGACACATTTTAACGGTTTAAAACACAAAATATAATAAATACCGTCTGTAGTTTACGCGAGTAGTCCTCATTTAAATAAAACACTATAACGGTTTAAAACTCGATGTTTCGGCACCACTAACGCCATCTAGCGTTAAGCGGAGGAAACTTTGTATTAGATCGCTCGGATCGATACGGAATGTTCCAGCCGATCGGGTACTGTGGTGGCCGAAGGCAGAAGCCTAATTCTAATCGAAATCGAAGTCGAAAGATACCGTGGCATTAACGTGGTGTGTTTATCTAAAACCCCATAATCGTTATCTAGTGTGTGTGTGGGTGCTGGAAGCTGCTTCAAAACCTGTTAATCTTGTAAGAATTTCAGTATTCGATCTTGGCGATTGAGCTAAAGTCTTTTTCCCTAGTGTGCGAACCGCACACGCGTTTAATCTCAATATTAATGTTATTGTAAACGTCGCGCGCAATTAAAATAATTTTCAAATAAGTTTAAATAATATCGGGTTTCAATCCGTTAAAGTGTTTTATTTAAACAAAGTATCGTATATACTTAGTTTTGCAACGTGAAACTCTGTAATTGTGCATGTATCAATAGTTTGAAAAACTCGACGATGACGTGTAGGACTCGGTACCTTAATACATGGAACGCTGTAGATGCCGGTTCAAGTCCTGCTCGAGTCGTGATTTTATTCAAATCATAATCGATTTTTAATTAACAAAATATATTAGTTAACTCACACTCCGTTATAACCACGTTGGTTATAAGGTCGAATGAACGCTCTAGTTGAATATAATATTATCTTTATTCCCGCCTTAAAACAGTAAACCGCAGCGTAGAAGCCTCGGAAGTTATCTGGACGGAGAATTCTGCTGTCATAATAAATTCAAAATGGCGGCTCGGGTACATGCACAACATTGTTGTGCTTCTTAATTATTATTAGCCATAATTAATGTACATAGTTTGCAAGTCACGACCGCGAGAGTCTGGTACGTTTATTTCATGTGTTAAACGCTTTTATAGCTTCATAAGAAATACAGAATAGAGTTTTCTATTTCTCTTTTATTATAGACAAAGCGAGTAAAGCATGGGAATGGCTGGATGGAAGAAAAATAGCGATATCTATACTAATATATAAAGTTGGAGAGTTTGTTTGTTTGAACGCGCTAATCTCGGGAACTACGAGTTCGAATTGAAAAATAATTTTTGTGTTGGTTAGAACATTTATCGAGAAAGGTTATAGAAACATTTAAGAAAATGTTCAAAAAATGTTCGCCACACTATGTCTATTTTTTAAGGTTGACTTGCAAGAACGACGTGGCCCGGACAACGGGTCGCGAGCGACGGGACGCGACCGATATCGTGCGCAGCTAAAAATTATAAAGATAGAGAGTTTATAAAGAATGGTGTAGAGGTTTGCAAAAACAAATTTGGATGCCCAAAATAAGTATTCTACGCGGACGAAGTCGCTGACACAGCTAGCTATATATGAAGGTCAATATGTATTATTGTACCTGGCGCAAGCCATGTAAATTTAGCAGTTTAAAACGCAAAATATATTAGGTAACCTTTTTTTAATTGCTTTAAATTGACGTTTTGAATATTTTGCAGCAGTCGTGGTAATGGGAAACCCTAAGATGGAGGACATCTCTGTCAAAGCTGCTATGCTAGCGCCATCTGTTGCGTCGTATTTAGTATTTGGTGAAACTGACCATAGTTAAAATAAATTTGTAATTAAGTTTAACTAATATATTTCGCGTTTGAAACCGTGAAAGTGTTTTATTTCAATGTGTACTACTCGAGTGAACTACAGTATTTAGCCATCTATATATACTAATGAACGATTTTTTTTATCCGATATCAAGTCTGGATGGAATATCGATATTCCAACCACCCATTATTATCCAGATTTTCCAGACGAAGGCCAACATGTTTCAGAAAAATTGTAAATTCTAAAGAATTCATAATTATTAGAGTCCTGGTACAAGGTTCGAATTCAGGAATATATTTACGATCAGGCAAGCAACTTAAAGACTCACTTATAAATAAATCAGTGTAGCAGACACAGAAATATGTCCACCCCACCCATCACTAAGGGGAATGTCCCACACTTCTCATGGATGTATATCAAGAGGGATCGTACATACAACTTTGAGCAACTTGCAAAGTTAGGTTATTGGCACAACTATGCAGTAATTTAGCTGTTATTTCTGAAATTACTAGAGAAGCGCTGAAAGCACTAAGTTTAGTGTTAAATATATGAACCTAGTGTAACTTAATTATTATTTTAATTGCTGCATGCCAGCATTATATAAAGACCAAACAATGTAACACTCGAATTGCGAACAGCATTTGAATATCATATTTGGTTGAATTTGTAACTCAGAGTATATTATATAAATAATTAAAGCACTTTTACCGGTTTAAAACACGAAATATATAGTAAAATTAGAGTGTAAGTACTGCCTATAGTTTTGGCGATACATTTTAAAACAAACGCGATATATTGGTTAAACTTATTTGAAAGTGATTTTTAACGTTTCGGCTGCTTTGCAGCACCTGGCGGGGGGTCTCCCCTGCGTTTTAAACTTTTTAAATAAAAAATATATTTCACGTATTACAAATTATTATTAATTTAATAATATTTGTTTTACAAATCTAATTGGGCTGTAGTTAAAATTAATTGTCAATAAGTTAATTAATCTATTTCGCGTATTGAACCGTTAAAAGCGTTTAATTTAAATATATACTACTCGCGTAAATTACAGATAGTACTTTCTTAAATTTTATTTTTATCGTTAAAGAATAAAGGAAATGAATGGTTGAGATTACTTATAAAAGATTGTAAAAATCTAACAGCCGGGTCTCGAACTGGCGTCTATAGCGATCCGTGCTGATGCTCTAACCAATTCAGCTACCGTGTCTAACACGTCATCATCGAATATCTTTAACCCATACTTACACCTCTTGCGCAATAAGTAAATTGTTGCGTGAAAGAGACAAACGCAGTCGTCATCTCTTTCTATTCCCATTTTATCACAACTTATCGCCAATACATTAGGGCTAAGTAGTTGGGAGCAGTACAGAGAGGGAAGCTGTTAGTTCATAATTTCCCGTGGGACTCGCTTAGCCTTTGGATGCAAATAATCCGACATTGCTAATTTGGTTTATCATCACTTAAAAGGGGACAAAAAGGCAGATTTTGATAGAACATCCGAACTAAAATTATAAATGATGATTATCCATAAAATCTCGCCTGTGTCGTGTACGCAAAAAGTATTCAGTTAAATCGAGTGGTGAAAGGATAACGTACCTAGACTTTATAAAACATTTAAACACTTTAAAACGCCAAATATATTAGTTATTTTTTTACATATGCACATCCGTCGTTGGTATGCTTTATAGCTATGATTGAAAGCCTAAAAATGGTGTCCTTAAGAAATTTGCAAGTTACTTAGAATGGTATACTTAGCGACTTGTACAAATTTAAAAATCGAAAATAAATTGAAAAAAAAATTGACTTGAGCAGGACTTGAACCGGCATAATTGCGTACCGAGAATATTAAAGTAAAATATTAAAGTTTTCATAAGAGTTGTACAAAAATTAAAAAAAAATAACGGTTTAAAACGCGAAATGTACTTGTTGACTAATTGAAAATTTATTCCTTGGTACCCCAGTGACTACGGCTGTGGTATTACTTTATCTACATATTTATTTAATTTATGTTTTATAACACGTATTTATGTTTTTAAACGGATTTATGTCTTTATAATTAAATTAATAAGGAAAACACGTTAACCTTGTATGTAACATAATCCTGAAATAATTATCAGATCCCTCATTACTTTCGGCTAAAGCTTAAACTCTATACGAGGATTACATTAAAAACAGATACTTTTCGTAATTACAGTTAACACTCATTTATTTTAATACGGGAAAATTGTTTATTATAGCAGCAATACATCAACCTATTTCGCTTTGGATATTCGGAAATACACAGACTGAAAGCGAAACGCGATTAAACTTCATGGTTTTTCATCGGTGTACGATGGTTCGTGACAAGGACTGAATTTCGATGTTCTTACAACCCACTTCAGATTTTAAGTACTCTAGCCATTTGAGTTAACATCTGCGTATTAAATTCGACTCTGACGTGTAGGACACGGTAGCTCAATTGGTTAGAGCAAGAGCACGGAACGCTGTGAATGCCGGTTTTAGTCCTGCCCGTGTCTTAAAATCGAGTTTTAATTCAGTTAAACTTGTGATAAATTATCATGTTTTTTCTTTGTCCGATAACATTTCCCGTAACCTTTTAAACTTGGTATATCGTTTTCTTAACATTAAATTGAAAATACAATATTCTTAGTTGGGAA